TTGGTGTAGATAGGCCTTTGGGGCCTGCGCAAGTTGCCTGAATGTTTTCACATATACTTAAATGAAGTAAGGTGCCACACCCATTGCATTTTGGGTGAGAGGCTGCTTCCGATCTGTGAAGTTGGAGCACTTTCTTATAAACCAGCGAGGCCTTCCTAGGTGGTCAGACTTCCATTGGGACTTGTTCCTGCTTAGGTTTGCTCATGTGGGGAGATTCCCTTTTCATCTCCAGGACAGAGGTGGGCTAGGCCAGCCTGGAGTACTCCAGGAGGAAAGCTTGCCTGTGTTATAGGAGTCTTTGGTTATGGTGAATAAGTCATGGCCTCCTAAAGAGGCCATGATCCTCTTTCCATCTGCTCTGCTTGGGACACCGACTCTTTCAATATGGGCCTCCTGTCAATATCTGGTGGTATGAGTCATTGTTGAGTCTTATAGGCCAGAGGCCCCTGGAACTCTTACCTCACTGGGCTCCTGGGTGGTCACCCCTCAGAGTGGAAGATTTAGGTTGCTGTTTGCTCTTTCTGGTCTTGATTGGCCGGGTGGACTGAAGGCTATGAAATAACATTTTGTCAGGATCAGAGACATCTAGATTTGATTCTTATGCTGTGCAAAACTGGACAGATAGCAATATTCTGAGCTTTCTCATCTGAAACATGAGGACAATAGGAACAGTATTATGGGGTATATTGCTAGCAGTACACAGCTTCCAGGAGAGAGTGAGGCTGCTGGCCCTGGTGACACAACATCGTGATTAAGTGCCTGAGGGTATCAGCAGGCAAGGATGACTTTCCTTTGGGCTTCACCAAAGTAAAGGGTCCATTTTCAGGAGGTAATTCAATTAGATCTTTAGCCTCTTGGCCAAAGAATGTCACTTGAAGGCTGGAGGGCACCAGCAGAGCTCTGACTTTTAGATGGTAGCAACCAGGGAGGATGGCCCTGCCTGGCTTCATGGATCATTGGCTCCAGAGTTCCAGGAAGAGCTCTAAGGGCCCATAGCCAGCAGGTGCCCTGGGGTTGTTAATGGGCACCCAGATAGGTCATTTACCCTCTCTGGTCTTCTCTCAGTTTCCTTGTCTCTAAAATGAGCATTGTTTCCTAAAGTTCCTGCTTTGAACTCATGCTCTGACATGTGACACCCCCCTGGCAGCACCCCCCCTCCCTGCCTGCAAGCTCCTGTCTTTGTGGGGTGAGTTCATTTTAGTTCTTCCTTTAAACACACACACACACACACACACACACACACACACAAACAATGGGGAATAAAAACATGATTAGGGCCCCAGTAATGTGAGAAGAGAACTGAGGTATACCATGGGGTCTGATTTGAGGAAGGGGCTCTAGGGGGGATTGGGAGCAGCGAGCATGCGTCTGGGGTGGTGACTGGAACAGACATGAATGGGAGCCTGTCCCTGCGCAGCACAGTGCTCCCGCGATTCTGTCTTGAGGACATGGGCAAAAGTCTCGAGGACTTTTGCTTTGTGAGCTCTGGCAGAACAAACGTCCTGTGTCCCTAGTCATCTAGGGGAAGAATTGCAACTGCAGGTCAGCATGACCATTGAGTGTTGCAAGGCAGCCTTCTCTCATTGTCATCTGGATGCTGGGGACACGTGGACTGGCATGGAGAGCAGTCGGGCAGTTGGGCAGTCCTGGAAAGTCTGTTGTGATGGCCTCGGGCCCTGTTCTGCCCTGATCCTAGCTAGGCTGACAGCCCTGTGTGGGGCTTGACCATGTGGACCTGGGACAGGTTGCGATCGCCTGTCTTGAAGCCCTGGTAAGGATCTTATGTGGGCTTCCTCTGTGTATCTTCTGTGCTAGGTCCCTTTCCTGGTTGTTAGGCTACAACCTGGAACCAGGCATCCGTGCCCCTAGAGCTTGACTGGGAAGAAATGATAGGAAAACCCTCTATGTGGGCTAGGTAAGGGCTGTGAGGAGAGTCAAGCAGAAGGAGACACCTAGGGTTGGCCCCGGAGGGATGGATGGGGCCATTCCACCTGGGAGGTAAAAGAAGGCTACTCCGGAGAAGTGCAGTTGGAGACCCTAATGGAATGAAGGGGGCCAGCTACCAATGTGGATGGAAGACAACCTAACCAAGGGAAGAGTGTCAAGGTTCTGAAAACTCTGGGATTCCCATCTGTCATGTCCAGATGCTTATCCCCACCATATGTCAAATAAAGAGACAGGGTGAAGGGCAGGGAGAGATCTGTTACGCAGCAGCAACAGTGAAGACAGCAGTTCAGTTCACTTTCAGCCATCTTCAGCCGTCTTCAGGCGGGCAGACACTGGCGCCTTAGGTTAAACAGGGAGAATTGGGGGCAAGATAGTGAGAAAGGTGGTGAGAAAGGTATACAGAGTTAAAAAGCATTCTTTCCTAAACAACACAATGTTACTATTTATATAGCATTTGCATTGCATATATCATTATAAGTAATCCAGAGATGTTTTGAAGTATGTGGGAAAATGTGGGGACTGAATGAAAATTGTGGGCCTCTGAAAAGGTTGCCATCCACTGAGGGGGCTTGGGCCTGAGTCCTCTCCAGGGGAGCACTGTATATTTTAAGGGTTCAAGAGGCTCAGAGGTGCTCAGTGGTCTCAGGGGGTGCCTTGTGGGATGTAGGCCCAGGCAGGTCTGGATCATTTAAGGAAAGTTGGATGTTTTGAAGGTGGAACCAGTAGACGAACCTGGGGGCTTGAAGGCAGGGTGGGAAGGAAGGAAGCACCAGCACACAGGCTGGGTTTTCTTTTAACCAAGTAGGCGGACAGGGCACCATTTATCTAATAAATGAAGAGGAGCAGGGTGAGGCGCAGGAGATCAAAGCTCCACTGGGGCCTGGTCACATTGGAATCTCATTAGCTATATCAGAGATGGATAAGCCATAGGGTGTGAGATGCAAGGGAGTAGCCGGAGCTGCAGATCTGGTTCTGCAAGTCAGCAGAGTACAGGGGAAATTGGTTTTATCTGGAGGATGAAGGGCCTACGACTGAGTCTGAGTCGTGAGACTCACCAGCACCAAGTGTAGTGAGAAGGGGAGGAAGAGCAGGCAGGGGCAAGGCAATGTGGACCATGGGCCTGAAGCTAGGTGTGTCCACCAAGTGTGTCCACTGAGGTAAGAGAAGATGAGAAACAAAGACTTCCAGCGTTTGCAAAAGAGCAGTGAAATCTTTGGGGAACTTGAGGCATGGTGGGGTGACGCTCCCTGCCATTGTCAGCCCTTGACAGGGAGAGCAGAGAGGAGTTCATGCTCTGATGGAGAAAATGGGAACTTATCAGCCGGGAGTTGGTGTGGTGTGGGGGTGGTTAAAAGGACCAAGGTGGAGCACATCAAGTCTGTGCCTGTGTGGCCAGTGTTAATTGAAGAGTGGGTTAGCAAATGAGCAGGGGTTTGGGGTAGAGCCCTACTCTTTGATGCCTACCATTTTGGTCTTAATCCTCCCTGGGCCCTTGTGTTGTGCTTTGGAGTCCTGGCAGATCCATGTCAGTGCGGGGGTTCACGGAGCACTGTGAAACTGGGAACCCTGGAAAACTGGACAAAAGCTCAGATTTGTGTGCACTTGCTGAACGTGACATCTGTGCTCTTGAAGCGGTGAAACCCCCTGAGGCTTTCATTGAAGGAGCTTTGACTCCCATTCCAGCTATCTGAGTCTGGTGTTGTATAAAATGGGCAGAGGCAGGTGGCTCACAGCTGAAGAATACACTGAAGGGAGTTGACAGTCAAGGGGAGACCTAGCTCGGTTATTTATCCTGAGATACCTGAAGGTGTAAAGTGGTTAACAGAAAAACAGGCGGCAGCTTGACTTGCCCACAGCGTGATGCATTTGGTTTCAGAGGAAAACTCCTCCCTGCCTTAGGAGCCTGCTTGGTAATTTGGGTATGCACTTGCCCTTAGCCCTAATGGGCTTCTGCAATGGGAAGAGGGGTCTGGGGACACTTCTTGATGAGCTCACTGCTTAGGTCAGACTTTTTTTTTTCTTTTCTGATGCCAATCCTAAGTCTTGATCTTAGGGCCTGGGCACTGTCCCTGAGCTTTTTTTTTTTCTTTAGGTTGTGGGTCCTGAACTCTGGGCCTGGGCACTGTCCCTTAGCTCTTCAGCTGAAGGCTAGCACTCTACCACTTGAGTCACAGCACCACTTCCGGCTTTTTTTTCTTCTGCCTATGTGGTGCTGAGGAATTGAACCCAGGGCCTCATGCATGCAAGGCAAGCACTCTACCACTGAGCCACCTTCCCAGTCCTGTCCCTGAGCTTTGTTGCTCAAGGGTAGCACTTTACTACTTGAGCCACAGCTCTACTTCCAGCTTCTTCTTCTTCTTCTTCTTTTTTTTTTTTTGTTTGGTGCTTAATTGGAGGTAAGAGTCTCACAGAATTTGCTGCCTGGTCTGGCTTCAAACTGCAATCCTTAGATCTCAGCCTCCTGAATAGCTAGGGTGACAGGTGTAAGCCACCAGCACGAGGCCAGGGCAGGTTCATTTAATTCATTACTTAGAACCCAGCATTTCCTGAGTGCATGTGAGCCCCTGTAGGGGACATGGGAAGATGCCCCGCCCTGGCCAGTGAAGGGCATGGGTAGCTGCTTCTCTGTAGTTTGGGCCTGAGGAGAGGAAGGTGGTAGTTTGTGCTCCTAGCTGCCTGATCCTGTGCTGATGCTCACCTGTGTCTCACACACCAAAGATTGTGTAAGCACACCCATCTTGAATGGGAGATGTTTCACTCTATAGGGTTCTTCCTCCCGACTGGGTCATAGGGTCACTGGGGGTTGAAAGGGCATGTCCGGCTTTCAGAGAAGGTAGGTGCTGGTGACCTGCAGAGATGGAATTTCCTTTTCTTAGGGTAGAGAGCTCCTGTCATCTGCAGGACCAAGAGGCCATATTGGACCAGAGCCAAGAGCCTCTCTGACTGGCATGTGGGTTTTGCTCTAACTTGAAGCATGTTTGTGTTCACAGTGCTGGTTTCTGACCTAACTTTTCTTTCCTTCCTTTTTCTCCCTGTCTACTGCCCCTGCTTAGTTGGCTGGAGTTGTCTTCCTCGGCGTTGGGCTGTGGGCATGGAGTGAAAAGGTAGGTGGAACCCATAACAGGCCCCAGTTACCAGGCAGATCCATTCCTTGTGTCCCCTCCCCCAGTCTGTTCTCTGACAACAAGCCTTGCTGTTGCAGTGGGGCCTTGTCATTGATCTTTATAGACCTGGCCCTTGGGGCTGGCTCTGCAGCGGGCAGTAGGGTTGGTTACACTGCTGTGGCCACTGCTAAGCCAGTAAGGCTTCGGGAGGTTTCAGATATGTGAGCCTCCAGTGGTTCCCGGGCTCCCCCTCCCCTGCTCCCCATTTGTGACTTGGGAGCAAACAAGCACCTGTGCTTACTTCTGAGGCACTGGCCCACAGGAAGAAGCCCTGAGAGCAGGGAGCCCTGTGGTGGGACCAGTCTTTGGGCCTGTGGATTTCTAGCCCAGCCTAGGAGAGGTGAGGAGGGGAGACCAGGCTCATACTATGTAGAAGGACAAGGGACAGTTGGTATGCCAGGGGTATGAGACTGGCCAAGGGCAAGGTGGAGCCCTGGGGCCTTCCTTGCCCTGTGGGAGGTTGATTCCAGGGAGGTGGTGATTGGTGAAATCCCTACTGGACCAGGGAGGGAAGAGGACAGAGCAAGGGGGCTTAGGGAAATGGAAACCCCATGTAGAGTCCTAGGCCCTTTGTTCCTTCAGTGGTTCCTTCCTTTGCTCCAGGAACACTGAAGTGTGGGCTTTCCTGTCATGAGCTTTATGGACTATGTAAGACCTGTCTTTGTGTTTCAAAGTGGTCTGTGAACCCCTAAATAGCAGCATCTGGAATGCAGTGTTCCTTTGTCCCAGTGACCCAGAAACAGATGTAAACTGTGACTCACAGTGCCACCATGTGGCTGCTTCAGGGACTGCAGCGTCCTGATAAGGCCAAGACCTCAGTCTGGGGCTGGCTGCATAGCTTGCCTGGGCAGCCCGCTCTTTTCTCCTTCCCTGTTTAGATCTCACAGAACTTTTCTATGTGGCTGCCACACACAACTATTTGTATTTAAATGAATTTAAAGTATATACAAACGAGAATTCAGTTCTTGGTATCTCTGTCCACCTTCTCAGTGCTCAGTGACCACCTCTTTGGGCAATGCCAATACTAAACACCTCCACCACACAGAAAGTTCTATGCATAGCACCGCAGCCTTTAGCTGCCTTGCACCAGCACTCCACCAGAGTGCTCATTGTGAAGCTGCACCTGGCCAATTTGGCCACAGGACTCCCTATACCTCCCCACCCTCTACTAGGGCCTGGCAGAGGCTTCCTGTAGGCCACACAGAAAGCCTGGGGTCTGCCTGGCAGGAACTTCATGGGAGGGTCTCTGAGGGTGGAGGTGGCCAAGGATGCTGGGCAGAGGGAGCCTCTAAAGCACCGGCAGAACCATACTCCAGCCTGGCTCTTAATGATAGGACAGAGCCTTGGGAGGCCTCAGACCTGACCCCCCACCCGCCCCCTTCCCATACCCAACCCCAGGTACCCTTGGCTCCCACTCAAGGCTGAGGCTGCCCTGCTTTCTCTGACTTTTCCAGGGTGTGCTATCCGACCTCACCAAAGTAACCCGGCTCCATGGAATTGACCCTGTGGTGCTGGTCCTGATGGTGGGCGTGGTGATGTTCACACTGGGGTTTGCTGGCTGTGTAGGGGCCCTGCGGGAAAACATCTGCCTGCTCAAGTTTGTGAGTACCCCAGATCTGGGTGGGATACAGAAAGGGTAAGGGGTGATGGAGTAAAGGGGTAGGCGCTGCTGGGCAGGCCCATGTGGGACCTGGTCCCACATATCCTGCCGCCTTGCTGAAGGTAAGACTTGGGGCATGGGCCTTGCTGAGTAGGCTCTTCACCCAGGAGCACTGGAGCCCTTGGTGAGGGGGAGTCAGCTCTGTGTGTGTGTGTGTGTGTGTGTGTGTGTGTGTGTGTGTGTGTACAGGTCCCTCCTTCTTCTCCTCTGCCTTTTATCTCTGCCCAGAAGTTCTGAAAGGATTGTTTGTCTGCTCTTCCACCTTTGCCCTTCCTGGCTAAGATCAAAAGATGTTGTCAATTTCATTAAGAAATCATTTCCTTTCTCCAGGGTATGTGAATCTGTTGGCTATGCAATGCAGAATCCTTAATTTTCTGGCCGAACTGCTCGTTACCAAGAGTTTAGTTTTATATTTAGATACAAATTCATTTTTAAATGAATACAGTTCAAATTAAATAGCACCTGGAGGGGGAAACACATTATTGCATTATTTTAAATAATCTATTATTTGTTGAGTTTATTAGGTCAAGCTTTCTTAGTTTAAAAAGCAAAATACATATATTTCCTAGGGTGTTTTTAAAAAATTCTCTTAAAAATACTATGTTTAAGCCTGGCCTAGTGGTGCACACCTATAATCCTAGCTACTCCGAAAGTGGAAGGAGAATGGAGCGTTTGGAGCAAGCCTGCATTACATAGTGAGACCCTGTCAAAATAAAACAAAACCAAAACACCAATAGGGCTGGAATGGCTCTCAGTAGAATGCTTGCTCGAGGCCCAACATTTTGATCTTTACCCTTGCAAACAAACATACAATAACAAAAACACTCCTGAAAGACAAACCAAAACAAAAAACCCCAACTATGTTTAGCATTTCGCTTCCTGTGGCAAAGTGGTCTGGCTTGCTTTCTGACGGAGGCCTCAGACCCTGTCTGGGCAGGAGGCTGCAGATGGATGCAGAGGAGTGACAGGTGTTCCAGGGAGGCACATTGCTGACCACCCTGTGCTCACACACAGGGATGCTGGCAGGAGAGAGCCCTGCTAAGGAGCTAGGTGCCTGTGGGAGTTAGGTGCTTAGTCTCCTTGTCCCTAAAGTAGAGCTGACACATGAGATTTCTGGGAACTCAGACGGTTGATTGTGCATGGACAGTAGTTGGATAGTGTGACTGTAGGCTCTGTCAGGAAGAGTGAGGGCCTGTGCTCCCTGACCAGGTGTCCTCTTGTGGGGGAAGGCTCGTTGTTAGGAAATGATAGGCAGCTCTCGTTGGAGTGTTCTCATCCTTTTGGCTTGTTGCATCCTTACCAGCAGTGCAGTGAGCGCCCTGTTGACCATAGTGCTTGCCCCTGGCTGACAATGGGGCATTGCCGGGCACGAGGGGTCTCTGTATTGCAGGCTGAGCAGCAGGCCCTGGTGCAGGGTTGGATGGGGTACACTGCAGGGCCACTCTAATGGCTCTGTGACTCTACACCCCATCCTTGTCCCTGTAGTTCTGCGGGGCTATTGTGCTCATCTTCTTCTTGGAGCTGGCGGTGGCCGTGCTGGCCTTCCTGTTCCAGGACTGGGTGAGGGACCGGTTCCGAGAATTCTTCGAGAGCAACATCAGATCCTACCGGGATGACATCGACCTGCAGAACCTCATCGACTCCCTGCAGAAAGCAGTAAGTGCCACTCCTGATGGGCTCCATCCTGCTGCCCCAAGCCAAGGCGGGGTGCAGGGTGCTTTAAGGCCTTCCTCTGCAGTGGCTTTTCTGCCTTCAGTGTGGCAGACAGCAGGAAGGCCATGGAGTATCAGTTGTGCTGGCTCATGATGGGCTGATCCAGGCTCCATCTCAGTGTATCTTCCCCCCCCATTTGCAGTAGGCAGTAAGTCCTGGTAGCCACCCATTCCCAGGAGCCCAGTCCTCCCCGTCCCTCTGTTTTAAGACCCAGCTGTTTCTAGGCTTGCCCAATATCCACGCTGGCAGCCACAGGCCCCTTTGGGACCTTGGGACCCATGGGGGTAGGGAGGAGTGGGCAGAGTTCTTCCCTCCAAACTTGTGACTTACTGTCTGAGGCTATTCCTGTCCCTTTCCTGGGTAGGGGGGGCGGCGGGGAGGAGGCTGGCTTTCCCCTTCCTGTTTGAGAAGGGCAAGTTGCCTCAAGGAAGCTTCCTCCTGTGGAGGGCTGTGACCTCTCTGGAATTGTCCCCAGGGAGAGGGATGTCTAAGCAGTCCCAGCCTGTGGCCCTCAGTCCATCTGCTCCCTTTCTTTCTTCATGTGCACCTGGAGCCTTGGACCCCAGCCACCCTGGTCCCCTGGGAGGAACCCACGCCCTGCCACAGCGGCCTACACAGAGACCTCCTGTTTGATCTTTGTTCTACCAGAGAGCTCAGCTTCCAAGAGACCTTTTCTATGGAACACTTGGTTCCAAGGAGAAAACAAACTAGGAAGCCCTGAAAATAACTCTGATCCACTGTTATTCTTAGCCACGACTTGGATCCCCTTGTTTTGTGTATCAGAGCACCCAGCCGAAACCATTTATTTATATCACCCAAGAGTCCACCAAATGGTTGCTCCTGACCTGTGTGGGTCTGTGAAAGGCCCAGATCCCAGCCGTCTTCCGAGTCCTCCTGTTCTGCTTGGCATCACAGTTTCTCTGTTTCATGCTCACGTGGCCAGCAGCCTGCCGTCTTCCTCATTCGGGTTCAGGCGCTCCTTCCCTGCATTGCCTAAAGGACATTGTCTTTTTCTGTATCAATTCTTTTTACCCATTTTTCTTCAAGAATACCTTCAAACTCTGGATCCTCTTGCCTTAGCTTCTGAGCATTGGGATTATAAGCAGGGTGTATGCTTGATTTCTTTCCTTCTGGAAAAAATTTTTTTTTCCCAATAGATCCAGAAAGTTCTAGAACTTTCTTTGTTTGCTATATTAGGGAGTCATTAAGACATATGGCATAGTGGAAGAGTGGGGGTGGGGAAGGTGGGATTTTACATGAAAGGAAAGCCAAGGCAGTCCGTGTGACCATTTGCAGTAACGACATCCACTCACGTGCTGGCCACAGGGGTAGGGCAGGAGTGAGATCTTCTCTCCGGCACTGTTCTCAGCATGGCCATGTGCCTCCAGTGTTGGGGTTTCCACATGTGTAAACCAGGGAGGACGTTGTTTGCCCTGGAGTGGAGGGCTCACCTGTAGGCAGAGTTGCTGTGTTGCTGTTCTCTCTAATCATGACTCTTGTCCCAGAAAGAGGTGGGCCAGCATAGCCCCTTTGGTGTTCCCTGGGAGGAGAGGAGCATATGGAAGGGGCCCGATAGGGGAGAAGGGGCTAGGAGGTGGACGAGTCCAGGGAGAAGGGAAGGCTTCTCACAAAACAGAAACCGGAGCTGAGCTCCCCGACCTGTGCTGGATTGGGGGCACCGATGAGTGAGCCTCGGATGTCATGGCTGCTCATTCCTCCTTAAGGGGCTACCAGTGGCGTCATCTAGCATCTCTGTGGGCCTTCATTTCTGCCATGCCAAGACCCATACCCTGTACCAGTGTCGCTGACATTTATCAACTTCTCTGGTTGTAGAACCAGTGCTGTGGGGCGTATGGCCCTGAGGACTGGGACCTCAATGTCTACTTCAACTGCAGCGGTGCCAGCTACAGCCGCGAGAAGTGTGGGGTGCCCTTCTCCTGCTGTGTGCCAGATCCCGCGGTAAGTCCGTCGTGGAGCCCGCGTGGCTCCTGCAGACTCTCAGAGTGCCCTGGGCTGCCTCTTCCTGCAGACCCAAGGTGTTCGCCATGCTTTCTCCACCACCCGCCCCAGGCTCTTACATCCTGAGGTCCTGCATTGTAACAGCCCCCCGGGCTGCTCACCTGTGTCCTCCGAACTCAGAACCCCACAGGGCCCACAGAGCACAGCATCTCTAGGTGGACAATTGATTTCTATTTTTTTCTGTTCACCTTGTTTCATTCCCGCACCAAGACACATGTCATTGGGGTTCCAGAAATTGAGTTTTAGGGTGACAATGGAAGGTGTGTTCCCTTTGCCTGAATTGAGTCCGAAAAAATCTGGGCCCTTTGCAAAGTCTGTGTGCAGTTCTTGTATGGCCGGGACTAGGTCACCAGGATCTTGAGTATCAGCTGTGAGCATGCAGGCCGTGAGCCGTGGGCCAGAACCTCTGAGTCTGGGGCAGCTTTTCCTCATTGGGCCTGAGGCTACATTTGCTGCTGTTACACAAATCATGGCTGAGGTCTCCAAAGGTGTCTGGGAAGCAACACCAGTGTAGTCAGCATTGCATTTAGCAACTGAAACTTTTACTGCCTACCATAAAGACTGGTAAACTGTGGATCAAGACTCAAATCTGGCCTGCTGTTTCATATGACTTGTGAGCCAAAAATGCTTTTAGCTAATTCTAAGTGATAGTTGTAGTCAGTTTTTGATCACTGTAACAAAATATGCTGAGATAATTAACTTAGAAAGACTAAAGGTTTTGGGGTTAAGAGTAATAGCTGAGGGTAGAGTGCATGTTTAGCATGATCTGCAGATAGAGCTGTGTCGGTTGGTTTACGCATTGCCCTTCTTCTCTCTTGCTATAGAAGAAGAGTGGAGATGGCTGACATAATTACTCTCTAGCTCTGAACAGGGACGACCATCCCAGCCTGAGGATGGGAGCTGTGGTGGGATTTCCTCAGGTGTTTGCAGGTGCTAGGTTGTAACCTTTCTAGAACTTTGTACTATCAGCTGGCTATTAGCGAGAACAATATTGACGACTTTTCTTGTTTTTCCTACAGCAAAAAGTTGTGAACACACAATGTGGCTACGATGTCAGGATTCAGGTGAGAACCCCGGCATACACGGTTTGAAGGGAGCTGTTGGATGACAGTTCTTGAAGTTTTGTTCCCTGTAGTCTAGCAAGTTGCTTTTGAGTCCGGGAGCCTTTGGTTCAATGGTGACCGGGGCAAACATGGGAGACCAGGGCTTGTGCCTTTTCCTGGAGAGGTCTCTGTCCTCAGCTCTGTATGTACAGGAGCTCTCATGTCATTTTATTTCATTTCACTTTTATGTTGTTCTCTCTCACTGTGTGTGTGTGTGTGTGTGTGTGTGTGTGTGTATCTGTGTGTGTGTGTTGGTACTGGGGCTTGAACTCAGGACCTGAGTGTTGTCGCTGAGCTCTTTTTGCTCAAGGCTAGTGCTCTACCACTTGAGCCACAACTCCACTTCTGGCTGTTTGGTGGTTAATTGGAGATAAGAGTCTCATGGACTTCACTGCCCAGGGCTGGCTTCCAAGTGTGATCCTCAGATCTCAGGCTTTTGAGTAGCGAGGAGGACAGGTAGCTGACAGGGAGCTTCTTTGTAGGGCAGTAGGGTGGGGAACTCCATGTGTGCACAGACTCAAGACTGTCTCCCCACAGTTGAAGAGCAAGTGGGATGAGTTCATCTTCACGAAAGGCTGCATCCAGGCGCTGGAGGGCTGGCTCCCGAGGAACATTTACATCGTGGCTGGTGTCTTCATCGCCATCTCCCTGCTGCAGGTGTGGCGCCGGGGACCCGAATCCTCCGACCCTTGTCCAGCATGGGAGTGATGTGAGAGGAGCTGAGAGCCCAAGGCCAAGCGCTCTGTGTGCTTCCGGGCCGCAGGGTGCCTGTAACTGTGTGTGGGGTTCAGTTCTGACTCCTCTCTCCACAGTCCACTCCCTGGAGTGAGGCTGGAAGGGTGTGGTCCCTTCTGGAGGGTCCAGAGGCCTCCTCAGAGCACATCACTAGAGGCTGGATGGCGGTGCTCGGGTGTCTGTCCCCTGGTGGGTGGATGGGTAGCAGCGTTTAGGAGGTATTGAGCTACGGAATGGAAGATGACACTTCCACACAGTGAGAACTCAGGTCGGGCCATCCCCTCAGGACCGCTTTCCTGTCCCCTGGCCTCTCAGGAGGGTTTTCCCTTCTACAGGGGACCCTCTGGCCACTGTGCTCGGTGACCTCCTTTGCTGATCAAGGCTGTCAGTGATTGGAAGCCAGCTTTCCCCTGTGGAGGGACATGATGGCTACGGGGGCCGCGAGATGCAGGGAGAATGGGCTTTTCCTAGCGCCGATGCCCACTGAGAATGCCGGCTTTGGTTTCAGATATTTGGCATCTTCCTGGCGAGGACCCTGATCTCAGACATTGAGGCGGTGAAGGCAGGCCATCACTTCTGAGGCGCGGAGTGGAGCACGCGGAGCTGAGCCATGCCGTGGTGGAGGCCCGGGCCACCACCGCCCTCACCCCGAACGTCCCCTGGGAGGGACGCTGCCAGCGCCACGCAGAGCCAGCGCCCCGTCTTCGGCATCAGCGGGACCTGACCTCTCTGTTTCTGTCTGCTGGTGCTGAAGACTGAGGGCTCCTTCATACACGCCCAGAACTTGAGATGGGATCCCTTCTCCCCCAGGGTATATCCCAAGCTAGAGAATGTGTCTTTCTAGGGGGTGGTGACTGAGGACAGACATACAGGCAGCAGGGAGGGCTTGAGTCTGAGAGCAGCTGCCCCGCTCCTCACTCCACACCTCGGGCAGTGGCCTAGCCTGGGGGCGGGGTACCCACACGGAGGGCGGGGCATTGAGGAGGACAAGGCTCCATCTCCATCAGGTCAAACAGCACAGGGGCTGTCCCTAGGAGAGGAGGAGGGGCCTGGTGGACACGGCTTGCTATGGTATCTGTGGGGTTGAACAGGAGCCTCAGCCATTTTCTCGTGAAGTAAGCCTGAACCAGGGTGTGTGACATGTACCAGCTCCTGCCTTTCCCCCCTGGACAGAACAGCCGCCCGTCTCCTAGCATTAAGCTCCAGGGCCCCGGGTGGGCAGAGGTGGGGGACCCGCTTCTCTGCCGAGAGCTGGCTCTCAAAGATCTTCAAGAGTGTAAATAGTTTATTTATAGGGGTAAGGATGTTCCCATACTGTACCTTCATTCCCCCTCCCCGACCTCCAGCATTTCCCATTAAGCAGCCTTACTGGTGTCTAGGACTGAAGCACCTCCTTTCGGTTCCCCAAGTCTCAAGAACCAGGCCGCCTCCCTCCCACAGCCCCCACGTCCCACAGCTTCTCCCAGCCTCTCACCAGTGGGTCACCCTGCTTCTTCTCACTGTTTTCTGGTCTTGGTGCTACTGAAATTGTCACCCAGAATTTAAATCCTGTCCCTCCCTACAGCACACCTAGAGAACCCCAGCCCCAGATAGCTGACTTGGAAACCTGGCACCTGCCATGCTCTTCCCGGGAGATACACCCTCCCACAAGCTCGCCATGTTTGATCTCTAACTTTCCCAGGGACCCCTCCCCTGCCGTATCTGTGGTCCCCGTGTCTACTCTTCCCCTCAGGGCTGTTCCGGGGCTTACTCTTGGAGATGAAGTCTGGCCTGTACTGGCTTCTAGTGGTCACCTACATGCAGAGCCGAGACACAAGTGTCCATCTTCAGCTGGGCTGCTCTCATGCTTCTCCCTGGATCGTTATCTGTCTGTCCTCACTGTTCAGGGATCGAGTGCTACTTCAGTCACCTGCCACCGTGGCCGTAAACATTCTAATGTGGTGTATTTTGGTGATACTGGTGGATGTTTGTTGATGATGATGATGATGATGATGATGACGATGACGACGACGTTACAACTTTTTTTTTTTTTTTTACAATTCTCTGTAGACTAGAGGAAGAAGAATGCTTGTGTTTTTAGGAAGCGTGATGCTTCTCTTTGACTGCCAAACTCTTTTATGGAATATATCTTTGTATTAATGTTGCTGTTTTGGTTGTTTTTGTTTTGTTTTGAGTCCTTATCAAAATGGTGTTAAGCATCTCAGTAGTAAGCATAGCTATGGAGGGGACCACACCACAGAGGAACACCGACAGGAAGTATAAGGCTGTCCCTGGCTTACATCACACTCACCCTCTGTGTGTAGGGGACAAGTTAGACAAGTGTGTGGCTCAGGGTTCTACCACCCCCAGCTTTAAGTTTGAGCTGGAAGGACTTTAATTCACATGGGAGGAAACGTGCATCAGGTTGTTTGTGTCTCTGCAGCCCTTGGCAGTATTACAGAGCCAAGTTAATGAGCTCAGGGGTCCTGTACCTGGTTGGAGTTTGGACTCTGTGCCGTGCAAAGCTGCATGTCCTGACTTGGATTGCCCATCTATAGTGGTGTGTGTGTGTGTGTATGTGTCCGTCTGTCCATCTGTCTGTCTGTGTCTGACCTAGCCTTCTGGGGGGTGTTGGTGGCTGCACTGACACCATGGGCTCTGGACAGCTCCTGCTATCCCATCTGCCCAGGTCGCAGTCCCTGTTCAAGGTCAAGTATAGCCATGACTGCCAAACCTGGGTTTGTGTCTTGATAAGTTTATAAAAATTGGGGGAGCTAGGTGCTGGTGACTCATACCTGTAATCCTAGCTACTAAGAAGGCTGAGATCTGAGGATTCTGTTCAGAGCCAACCCAGGCAGAAACATCTGTGAGACTCTAATCTCCAGTTAACCACCAGAAAACTGGAAATGGCACTGTGGCTCAAGTGGTTGAGCACTAGGCTTGAGCTGAAGAGCTTAGGGACAGCATGCAGGCCCAGAGTTCAAGACCCACGACCGACTGAAATAAAAAAAAAAGGTTGGGGGCCATTTCAGTCCATCTCTGAGTAGATATGATGGATGAAAACCGCAGATCAAAGTCCCCCAATACCATGGCACCCACCACAAGGCTTGGGGCCAGCCTGGCTGCCCTGAGCCCACCTTTCCTGTCCTTGGGCTGGACAGAAGCACTGTATAACCTGTACCCTCTTCCCTTTACACACTCACTTCAGTCTCAGTCCCCCCTTCCTGTGACCTGCCAGCTCCTCTCTAGTCTTTGCCTGACATCCCCCTGCCAGTTCTGTCTCTCACCTTTCCTTCCTGTAGTACCATTGCTTTCTTTTCCCCATTTCCCAGCTTCTGACCCGTCTCTCTGCCCTCCTCAGCCCGTCTCCCCACTCCATTTGTCCATTTGTCAGACCCAGACCCTGGCTTGGTCTCTTGCCCCTCACTCATGCTCTGGGCCTCCCTTTGCTAACCCTCCCCTCGGTGAGGCATACGAGTGCCATTTCTGACCTCTTCTCCCCATCCTTTGCAGGCATTGGCTGGCACTGTGTGCCTCTGCCCTTCTTAGTGGCACCTAGGGCCTCCCACTGCCCACAGGACAGAGCTGTGTCCTGAGCAGGAAGGCCTAACACTTGATTTCCTTATACAAATAGCACTAAAGATGAATGGGTAGTGAACCTTACCAGAATACAGAGTGCTCGTAGTACTGGGGATGGAATAGCTTCATTCTTTCACTAGAATAGCTTGCAGGAAACCATTTTTTTATGTCCAAACATGAGGCTCAGAGAAAGGCAAGTTACTGTCAAGGAGTTGGAAGGGTAGGGTATAAACCCTGAACTCCTCATTTCTAATTATCTTGCAGCTGAAGCTTGAGGCTTGGTGGCCTCCAGCCCTGATTCTAAATCTGATTGGTTCCTGCAGAATAAAATCAGCATATGGAAGCAGCCTGAACCCAGCCAATCCCTGAAAGCTCTCAGCTCATGTCCCCAGCAGGCCCTCAGGCATTTGGAAAAAGTAGGAAGTGGAAGTGTTGGTTGCCCTGGGAACCTGCATTTGGATGCCTGGCCCAGTGTTGGGGCCCTGTGGAAAAGTGTCCTGTTGAGCCCAAGGAGCTTGTCCCTTGTCCTGGGTTAGAGACCCTGATACTGGTCCCTGTGTTCACATCTCTACAGGATCTGAGCTGTAAGTAGCAGCACTGTGTACCATACACAGAATGTTCCCTGGCTTTGTGGAAGGTACTTGTTTTCCTACAACTGGGTTGCTCACACAGTAGGCTTAGGGAGGGCTTTATATGCTGGACATTGTAGGATCTGACATAGCCTCTCTTAGAAGCTATGGGAAAGGAGACATACATATGAGTGTGGCTCCTGTGTCCCTCCACTGTGGAGTTTTAGATCATCAGCTCTGAAACTGGGAACTGTCCTCTTGGTGGACCTTGGCTGGTGCTTGTGTCTAATTGTACTCAGGAAGCTGCTGCTGGGCCCCTGGACAGCCTGGTCCTCTATAGCAGTGGCTGTGCTCATTCGTTCAGATGCTTTTCAAAGATCCAGAGACCATCATCCACTTTTTGGGCCTTTTGAGTTCCCTGAGAAGGCAGAACTGGCCTTTTCTCAAAGGCTGCGTTAAAAGCATGCCCCTTAAAGTGCTCTTGAGGTTTGGTGTGATGGTGCATGGCCTGTCATTGCAGCTGTGGAGGGAGGTAGAAGTAGGAGGATAGTAGTCCAGGGCCAAAGTGTGGGACCCAGCCTAAAAATCAAGGCAGAAACAAAATGACTGGGAGCATGGGTCAAGTGTTAGAGCATGAACCTGACTAGAAAACACAAGGCTCAGAGTGCAAATCTCAGGACCACCCCTCCCCCCCCCCCAGATGTGTTTTGGAGACTCCAGGGTGCTGCAGGGAAGTCATGAAATGAGCATTGTAGAATCAGAGTCACTTGGAGAAAGAAAAAAAGTTAGAGATGCCTTAATTAAGTGGACATTGTTCTGGGGAAGAAGTTACCAATGGTAAGATCCTGCTTCAGAGCAGGCAGAGCAGAGTATTCTCTACCAAGCTCCGAGATAATCATGTCCTTATGCATCTACTTCCTGTCCACTGCCTCTTAAAGCCCCAGCCAACCCTTCAAGTATGGCTTAATGACAACCCACATACATGATCACTTTGGGCTGTAGTTTTGTCACCTCAAACAACTTTCAAACTAGTCCTTTTGAGACATACTTAAGTAAAAGCAATCTATAGAATGGACAGTGCCTTGTCATCCTAAAGCAGACACTATTAAGTTTCCTTCTAGAAAGTGTCTTCAGAGCTGCATGCAAGCGGGAGTCATTTTACATGGTGTCCTGTGATTGGTTTTACCTTAATACACTGCTCCCAGGGTGTGCATTCAGATCTGGGGCAGGGCTGTGCCACAGCAATGGACCTTGCTCTCCAGGGACTGCTGCTTACTGTCCCAGGTAACAAAACCCCACTCAAACCGATCTGAACAATGAAGGGAAGACAGACGCTGGCTCCTGAAACTGGAAAGTCCAGGGGTGGGGTGAGTTTCAGGGCTGGTGTGATCCAAATGGCTCACTGACGTCAACAGGATCGGATTTCCTCTTCTGTCTGCTCTCCCGGCCGGCTTCCTCATCACCTGAGGTTCAGGAAGGGACCACTTCACCTGGGACAAGCCAGGTGCGTCCTTGTGATGGGCCATCCAGGGAAGGGATGGCCCTCCTTCCTTGCTCTTGGAAGCACATGGCAGGCAAACAGCCCAGCAGAGTGCGGGAGGTGTGGCTCACATTCCGGGTGCACTTCTGCAGCTGGATGTTTCCATTGATGCAGTGAATTGCTTTTTGCAAGGGCTTAGAAAAAGCTCATGCGATTAGTTTCTTGGAATGACTTCTTAGAAAGGTTTGTTTTTTTAAAAGAAGAGTCTTGTGGGCCTGCATGCTTGCTAGGCAGGTTCTCTACCAGTTTGAGCCACACACTGCCTTTTTACTTTGTAGTTTGTTCTTCACATAGGGGCTCATACTCTCACTATGATGAGCCTCTGACTGCAGTCCTGTTTCTGCCTCTCTCCCAAGTAGCTGAGAGTCACCGTGCCTGGCTCCAATACACACACACACACACACACACACACACACACACACACACACACACACTTTAAATTTCTCCAGGGAGATGGGCTTACATCTTAAAGACCGAGTCTTCAATTAACTACCAAAAAAACCCAAAGCAGGGCTATATTAGCACATATTTCCTTCTACTTCCTACCCATCTTCTAGCAGGGCTCACTTTAAAATTGACCCCAGGTAAGTAATCCAGAAGAGTCAAAGTCTGCCTCATGGTGAAAAGGGGAGTCTGGAGACTTGCTCCAGGTAACAGCCAGCCACTGTGGAAGGCTTTGTGGTGGTCCTCTCTCGGAATGGATGCCTTAGGCCATATCTGTTACCCAAGACCTGACTATCTGCAAAATGGCTTTGTATTTCTTTCTCAATTCACTCCTGCAAACAGACATCTCAATAGTTGCATCTAAACCTGTGGAACATGCCTTCTCTCCTCCCCCCCCATCCCAAATCCCACCCACCCTTCAATCTGCATCTTTCCATATCAGCCCAGTGCTCCACCATGTGGGTTTTCCAGGGGCAAATCCAGAAAAGAAGGTATCACCTGGGCTCTTGGGAGTCAGTAGGCTCCCTGTTCTGAAAAAATCACACATCTCATCTAAGCAAAAGATGTTAGTAGGCATGGTGATAGATTGAGGGCCTGGGTGCTGTCCATTAGTTTGGGGTTTTTTTTTGCTCAAGGCTATCATTACTGCTTAAACCACAGGCTCCATTTTCTGCCTTTGTGGTGGTCAATTCGAAAAATCCCACGAATTTTGCTGCCCTGGCTGGTTTTGAACCATGATCTTCAGATCTCAGTCTCCTGAGATCTCAGTCTCCATCACTGCCAGGCACATTGCTGCATTTTGAAACGTGTCTTTCTTTGTCTGTGGGATCTCAATATTCCTGGAAGCTGTGGGAATGGGAGGAAGATGTGGAGGTACAGAAAGGAACCTGTAGGGATGCTCTAAGAACTGGCCCCTGCCTGGAGAAATCTCCCTGCACAGCATGCCTGTGCTTTAATACAATTTTGGTCCTTGTTGCTGTTGTTCCTATAACTTCCCTGCATTAGCTTTCTATCATAATAACAAGTTATCTG